AGAGAGAGAGAGAGATTATCGGCTCTGTGTCTCTAGCGCATGATGGTTAAGTTCCTGATGAAGCAGTAAAGATTGAGAGGATTGGATTTCCTTCCTTAGAGGAGTTCTTGCCTCTTTAGGAAAAATATACCTAAGAACTTTTCAAAGTCATTGAACCCAGAAGCCAATTCCACTTGCACTAGCAGCTGCTACATACATGATTAAAGTTGTTCCTGAAATGACAATGGAAATGGTTGTGCTTGTTGAGAAAGGCATTCCAGGGAAGACAAGGGCACCAGCACCCTTTCACTCTCCCCTGCTAGCAAGATTATAATGATGGTGATATGCACAATCTGGTGCCAATTTAAACCTCCACAGAGTGGGTTTGTCATGGAGTACCCAATTGTGATGATGATGTGGTATAGACGTGAACTGATCCTTTTCTTGAACAAGGTCCATGTATAGGACTGGATTGCACAAGGCAACGCCCATACAATTTCACAACCTGCTCAACACTAATGTAGTTGATGTAGTGGAGGTCCATGTACTTTGTGGGGCAACTTCCATGGGGGTTGCGATCCTTGACAGACCTTTCTCCCAGTCGTTAGAACAGTCCTATCGGGAGGACCACTTCTATGTTGGACTTCCACAGCATGGCAAGATCTTTCCAGGTTGGAGTTGTTCATGCCCAGCTATGACTAGGCCCCAACTGGTTGCCACCAATTTACCCTGAGCTAGAAATGTATATACTCCCCAACTGGCTTCCTGAGTCCCACTGTAATAATTTACTGCTTTCTATACCATTTGGCTTTGTTGATATCATATGTGATGCTTGTCCTGCTGTATCTTATTGTTTGCTGAATGTACTCTTGCTTAGGTTGAGTGAGCATCACATCTACAAGATGGGGGACAAGGTATGGCGTCGATTGAGGATTTTTGTGTGAGTATTGGGCCTTCTCTATGTCACAAGCAATACAGGATAGAGTTCCCCATTAGACAACAAATGCATTTGAGATTGCTGCACTGAGTAGTTGGTCTTCCTGGTTCCCATTTGGTGGTGGCATGTATCTGTAGGAGCGTAATAGCATTAACTTCCATGACTGATTTCCTTAGTCTCATTAAGAAAAATGGCAACTTTTTGAACTCATCTCGGTTTAATATATCTTGGTAGTTACCATGGTTTGTTGTGAATCTCATAATCTTTTTAAATATGTTCAAAATAAAATGAAATGATGGGACTCCGTGACCATTTAGATTTTATAATATAGTTTATACAAACTGAATTCATGAAAGCAATTGGAAACATACGCTGTTTGTTTTTTCTTTTGGCCTTGATTTTCTGATTATGTTGCAGATCCTCAATATTTTGAAAGATGTGGCCTTTATATTGGCCAGGGCGTAGCAATGATGTCAAGAGCTGGTATATTTGGAGCTTCACAGGGTATTGCCATTGAAATGATAAAGAGAGTCTATGAACTCCCATCATTCTATGGTATGTAATATTGTACTACAATAACTTGCGGAATAGAATTCATTATCATTGCTTGGTTTTTATCTTCACTATGCTGTGCTACTGATACTACCAGTCTGGCCATTATGGGTAGTGAATAATGTCTTCACATTTCATCATTCACAAAAACTCGTTGCAATGTTTGTGGTTGTTTACTGACAAATTTTCAAGTTCTTACCGTTGCATTTCTTGTATTTTTTTTGTTTGTTTGCATGACAAATTATGTTGTCATCATGCTGGTGGTGTCGAAAATTTAAATTCTGTTCATATATGTGGATGCTCCTGTTTGGAACAGGGTGTTGAGAGTCTTAAAAGAAGTGGCTATGTGGATTTCAAGGGAGTAAAATAAAAAATTTTCTTTTATCTTTTTATTAATACAACTGAATTTCACTTACAAGTGCGACAAAACACTGCTGTAAACAAGAAATGAAAGTTTAAAAACAACCTAGGATGTTTCCTTTTACTGCAAAAAATAATAGATACAATCAAACACAATTAACGTTCCTAGAAGTTGAAATAAACTGAGCAATATTGACTGAGAAATGAACTAGAACGGCTGGTAAGACTTATTTGAATTTTCCTAGGGTCACACCTTTAGTACACCCCACACTCGATTTCCTGACCCATTGCACACTCTAATTCTATTGGCCTTGCTGAATTTTCTGAAATGGGAAGCTTCCTTAGGTAATACCTCACAGATCTAGTGTTTTTTAGAGCATAAATAAGATTAGGGTTTCTAGACCCCTTTTGGACTACTCTAGTGCATGCCTCCAAAGGCACCTCTTCCTTGGTCTTACTCTAGGCTGGGTGTGCCCTCTCTTGCTAGTCTGTTTGTGGCATGCCACCCCTAGTAGTCTAGGATGGTGCATGTCACCCTCTATGGTCTTGAGAGGATGAGAGAGATGGAAAGAAATTGGGTGGTGTGGAGAGAGAGAGAGAGAGAGAGAGAGAGAGAGAGAGAGAGAGAGAGAGAGAGAGAGAGAGAGAGAGAGAGAGAGAGAGAGTAGAGAGTAGAGTAGTAGTAGTAGTAGTAGTACGTAGTACGTACGTACGTACGTACGTACGTAGTACGTACGTACGTACGTACGTACGTACGTACGTA